TGGCCATCGCTCACCGGTGGAGAGCCACAATTCAAGACTGTCGTTCTTTCTGGTGCACACCACTTGATTCCGATCACGCCGTGGTGCGCGCACGCTTGACAGTTCGTTTCCCTTCAGGCCATTGCAAGTCGGCAAGAAGCATGCCAATCCACTATCTTCCAAGAACTGCCATAGCTCAACAGTATCGATCTGATCTAGCCCAACAACTCTCCACAGTAAAACAATACTGTGGTGGCAGTGAACATGTGGATGAAGCATGGCAAAATGTGAAAGGAGCTATACTAGCGGCGTTCAGTGCTGCCTGCCTGACTTCTCCAATTGGATCACAGGATCACTGGATGTCGTCGAGGTCGTTATCCATGATTGATGCCAGGAAAGCCATACCAGCAGGCAACGAGTACGACGGCGCACGCAAATCCCTCAAGCGCCAAATAGTGAAGAGTCTTAAGAAAGACCGAGAGCTGTGGTGGACATGGAAAGCTCGGGAGATACCGAAAGCTTTTGCTACGGGAAACAGCCATGCCCTTTATCAACTGATACGATCGACTGGCTCTAGAAAAGCAGCGGTCAGCGAAACGATAAGTGAAAAAGATGGCTCATTAATTCACTCGCAAAAACGTGGACTGGAGAGATGGGCCGAACACTTGGACGAGCAGTTCAGCTGGCCTCATGCAACAACCAGTGGAGGTAATGCATACGGGCGAATGGAATGTAAACCTTGATCGCCCTTCAGAAGAAGAAATAGGGTACGAAATAGCCGTACTGAAACGCGAGAAGGCACCAGGACCGGATTGTCTGTATCCAGCCCTCTTGAAAGAAGGCATAAAATCCCTGATGACCCACCTGACAAAGCTTACTGGTGCTATATGGGACGAAGAGAAAGTGCCTGCAGAATGGGGCATGTCGACAGTTATCCCTGTCTCCAAAAAGGGTACGCGGACGATATGTGAAAACCACCGTGGCATCAGCCTGTTAGCTGTGGCATCGAAGGTGCTCTCTGGCCTTATCCTTCGAAGGTTGACTGAACACAGGGAGAGGCAGATCCGTGAAAACCAAGCTGGGTTCCGTCCTGCAAGAGGTTGCATCGATCATATCTTCAC